AAATTAGGACCAAATATGTTTAGCAAACTTTTCCTTGCCTCTTAAAGTAGTAGTTGAAAGCAGCCAACACTTTCTTTTTCTTTTTAATTTAAGAAAAAGAATTTCTTAACATTCAGAGTTAAGCAGTGGAAAGAGGACTTCTTAACTAGGCAAATTAAGTAATTCTATGTTATCTGGGGAGTGGGGGATTCAGTTTTGTTGTTTCAGGTTGTACTGAACCATCCTTAAAAGAATGTATTTTAGTGATAATTAACTACAAATTACTAATAATTAGCAGGGAAATAAATGATAATTTAGAGTGCATTCTTGGCTTAAAATGAAACGAGTGTCAGCTGAGGATTGTTGTTTGACCTGACTCTCTTTAAAATTATTTTAAAGTATACAGAGTTAGTTCCTTTTTCTAAATGAAATTTCCTTTCCTTTTTCCTTTGAAAAAGACTTGCTCACCTACATTAAGCTGCTTCTCATCACATTGTACAATTAAGGGTAGTCCTTTTTAAACAAAAACTGTTTAGTCCTCTTCAAAATAGAAATACAGTCCTCCCTAATCTGCTTCAAGTGAACCATGCACATGAGGTCAATGAATGAGATGACCAAAGGGACACATGGTGAAAATGATGAATTCTGGGGCACTGATTCATATGACTTGAAAAATGCCATCCATTTCCTGATTCACCACCATCTTGACTCTGAAATATAAAGCATCACTTGTGTCTCTGGACTAATCAGCCAATTCTGTCTTGTCTTTAAACCCCTCTCTAGTGCTTGAATTTTGGCCATAAGGTTCAACTGCCAGCCCAGAGCCGAGGAACAGGGTGGGGGCTGAAGGAGCATCACCTGGAGGAGAGGCAAAGATGCTGCTGGGGACCACAAGTGCCCTTTAAAGAAAACCATGGGAGTGGTGGTGTTTAAGATGTGGTAAGACAGTATTAAAATTCTGGAGGAAAAAAAAAAAAACTCAGTCCAAAATGTGTGACCTCTTTTCATTTACCTCTTAACTGGATTTTCCTAAAAACGATCGAGGCAAGTGTTACAATTGTCATCCATGCATTTCTCTTTTTATCCCTGGTTTCCTTCTTTTAGATCCATGGCATTTAAGAACTGAGAAGAAAAAGAAAAAAAAAGAAATTTAAAAGGAAAAAAAAGAAAGCTTGATCATCTGAATTATCCCATCATTTTTTTTTCTTAACACAGCTAGATATTGCTTAAAAAAAAAAAAAAGTGAAGTTTGATGACTCAGTGTGGTTGCCTAGAGCTAGAGCTCTTTTTTTTCCCATATACTATAAATGACTTGGAAGACTCATGATTGTGGCTATAGGTGACACAGACACCGTGATGTTCCCCAAAGTTTTGACAGTGAAGAATCTCAAGATGGGGAGATTTCGGGGAACTCTCAGCCCCTACTGCATTCTCTTGAGCTTCACCAAGTTCAGTTTATGGTTCTTTTGCCCCAAGAAGTATGCATGCTCCTCCCATGCAGAGCTCACTCTCTCGGTACTTACTGGTAGGCAGACCAGTTCTGTTCCTAAAGCAACAGCCCAGACTCTTTGAAAGAAAGTGGCCTTGGCACATTTGAGAATGACCACAAGTGAGTCCATATGCTGTGCCAGTCTGCACTGAAGACTCCATCATGGTCCCTTCTCTGGTCCCAAATCAGTAGGAAGAAGGCCATCATGGTCCCTTCACCCGGTTCCACCTACGGCTGCCTCACCCTTCCCAGGTAGAGGGATGTGCTTTGTTGTTGCTGGTTGTTAAATGGAAGCTGATACAGAATGACCTGCCCTCACCATTCCAGGTGAGTTCTTCTCACCTGTGGGTTCTCTTGAATTCATTCCTCAAATGAGAACCACATCCCCCGACCTCATGCCACATTCAAGAAAGCAACCCAGTTAAGTCCAGTGGCCAAAGTAGTGAACAGCTCAAAATGCAGCCACCCAAGTATACATTCAACAAGATGTACTCACTATCAGTTACGGGGGATGTTTCATAGCAGGTTTCTTTTTTCCTTTTTTTTTTTTTTTTTTTTTGTGTGTGTGGGGGAGTATATAGCCATCCTTAAAATTTCAGTAAGACATTGTATTTTACTTTAGCTATATATACAGAAAACCAAAGTATGCTAGAAATCTAGAAATAGTTTGCCTTATCTTTGGGGTTATATTTCTAGATATATTTTTCTAGCAACCCAATTTCCTTAAGATAAAATTGGTGTCCTCAAAACAGCCCAAGTTGTCTTTTATAAGTATGGTGCAGGGAAAGGGAAAAATGCTAAGTTTAAAAGATTTTTGGAATATCTACAGGAAATGCAGATGGTTTGTGGCATGAAGATAAAGCATCCGTATGGTTAGCTGAGTGTTATTTTCTGACATTGAGACTGGGATATATCTTAAGTGCCTATGAGTAAAGAATGGGTTTTTTTTAAAAAAAAAAAAAAGATATTTGACACTTATTAATCAATGTCATTTATATTCCTGACTTTGAAACTAGAGCTTTGGGAGGAAATAAGTACCTTTGTAAATGTATTTTCAGAAATAGTGTTCACCCTCCTTAGATTTAGAAGCACGAATTACTGTCTTAGTTTATTTCATCACTTACCAGGGAGATTAACTCATAATGACCTTGAATTCAATGAAAACAATATGTATGAAATTAAACCAAAATGTCTTCTGAAGCAAATCAGTAGGAAGAAGGCCATCAAGGATCCAAAGCCCTTCTGTCAAATCTCATTTCAGACCCCCCTTCTCATTCCCATTATTATGTCCTTGATTTAGCATGTCAGCTTCTCTCATCCAAATACCAACACCTCCTGCAGGTCTGCCTGCCGTCAGTAGTTATTCCCCAAACAGCAGCATCCCCATCACCACCATGCACATACCAACCTTCATAACACTGATTTTATTTAAATTGCAAACTACCTGGTTTTAAAACAAGAACAAAGAACAAAGCTTGCTTGCAGCTA